GATCTACATGTGTGTAGGGGAGAACTACCGTTTTAGGTAATAATAATAATAATAATAATAATAATAATAATAATAATAATAATAATAATAATACATTTTATTTATAAGCGCCTTTCAAAACACTCAAGGACACCTTACAATCAAAACAAGAACAATAAAACCAAGGATAAAATTATAAATAATAAACTCAACTCAACAGTATTTATAGAGCAGTTTCAAACAGCAATCGCTGCATACAAAGTGCTGTACATGGAGTGACTAACATATATACAACAATAAAGCAATAAATCAGTAACAAAGATGGTAGAAGGCACCAAACAGTAAAACTAAGATAAAACTGAGTCATGCTGAGTCAAATGCCAAAGAATACAAGTGAGTTTTGAGGCGGGTTTTAAAGAGGGAAAGCGAGGGGGCTTGCCGAATGTTCAGTGGGATGTCATTCCAGAGAGGGACCAGCAACGGAAAAGGCTCGATCCCCTCTGAATCTCCGTTTAGTTCTTGGTACTTATAATAATGTCTGGTCCGCAGACCTGAGGCGCCGGGCAGGTGTGTCGGGGCGGATGAACTCAGAGAGGTAAGGTGGTGCGAGGTCATTTAAAGATTTGAAAACAAGTAATAGGATCTTGAAAATAACTCTAGAATGTATAGGGAGCCAGTTAAGGGATGCCAGAGTAGGAGTTATGTGCTCCCTCTTACGAGTACCAATCAAGAGGCGAGCAGCAGCATTTTGGACCAGCTGGAGACGCTTAATGGAGGATTGGCTGACTCCAAAATAAAGTGCATTGCAGTAATCGAGCCGGGATGTGACAAAGGCATGAATTACTGTCTCAAGGTGCTCACAAGAAAGGAGAGGTTTTACTTTAGCCCGCTGTCTAAGATGAAAGAAGCTGGATTTAACAACGGCACCAATTTGCCGGTCAAGTTTAAAATAATTGTCCAGTTTAAGACCCAAGTTTGAGACTGTTGCCTTCAGATAAGGAGACAGGGGGCCCAAGTCTACAGGATGGGATGTACAAGGGCCACTGGGACCAAACACTATCACTTCTGTCTTCTTTTCATTGAAATTCAAGAAATGTTGTGCCATCCAGGTTTTGATTTCTTTGAGACAGGATAAAAGTGGCCTTAATGAGAAGGCGTCTTTTTTGCTCAGTGGGACATAGATCTGACAGTCATTTGCATAGCAGTGGAAGGAAATACCATGTTTCCTTATGATGGAACCCAATGGGAGCAGTGAGAACAGCAGAGGCCCTAGAATAGAGCCCTGTGGAACACCACATGAAAAATAAAATAATTGAGGAAGTTATTGGTAAACCAAGATTTAATTTCTGAGACGCAATGTGAGAGGGAGGAGGGTGGGAGGGAGGCATCGGGTTTGCTGGAGAGGTAGAGCTGGGTGTCATCCACCAAGTAGTGAAAGTGTATACCAAATTTACGGAATATATTGCCAAGGGGGAGAAGGTAGATAATGAAGAGGAGGGGTCCCAGGACAGAGCCCTGGGGCACACAAGAATTGACAGGGGAGGACTGTGAAGTGAAGGAGTTGAGTTGGATGAACTGAGAGTGGCCAGAGAGATAGGAGTGAAACCAGCGTAAGGGGGTGTGAGTGATGCCTATGGTGGAGAGTCTATTAAGGAGGATGGGATGAGAAATGGTGTCAAATTTATTTGTTTGTTTGAATGACAAGCACTATACCTGTGAATATTTTACTGTAAAATTTCCCATTTGTGACCATGGCTTCAAGTTTTCTCTACATTCTTCCTCAGGGGAAAGCAATTACACAGCCTGCACCGCATTGTCTGTCCACATCTGTGGTCGCAATTGTCTGAGAATCCTCAACTGCCGTACAATGATGTAAAAAGTGTCTAGTTTCAGGGTAAAGTTACTACAGTGTGAAAGGGCCTAACAGAGTGAATTTTGGACAGAAGTCATATCCATTATCCCCTTTCACACTGCCTTCACCGCAAGTTGGCACCTCAGAGGCAAAAACGGTACAGCCACCATTTATTTGTCTGCCCCTTTTAGGGAGAATGTAGTGTCCATAACAGGTGTTCACACATCTGTTGCAGCTTGCCTTGGTGCCTTCGGATAATTAGACACCAACATCTGGGACAGCATCACTTTTGACACAAAGGGGTGTAAAGGCAGTGAGTTGAAGGTGTTACAGGTGGTAAACTTCACACTCTGGTCATGGCCCCTCACGCACAGGCCAAAGTTGGTCTCTGTTACGCCTCTTTGAAGTTGGCCAATTGGCAGGTCAATTTCATATAAGGGGTGCACGCCTACTGTGTCTCCAATATTTGTTGTGGTTCCATACAACTGACATGGAATCACTTGTCACTTAATGCCCCCTTCACAATTGCCCAAGTAGAGTAGCCTGCTGATGAATGAAATAGTATACCGTCTCCTTTCTGCATATGTAATCATTACACACAGTCACACACACAGATATACAGAAGGTTGGCATGTGCAGACTTGCATGCATTAACCTCCTAAGACCTGAACTCTTGAAAGGCATGCATTTTTTGTTTATTTTTATTTTCTCTTTGATATTTAGGCTAATTGGGACCTGATGAGTGTAAAAACAAAGAATTATCTTTTTACATGATGTAACGTCCTCGTAAGTGGACGCCAGGCCCTTGTAGTCCAAAATTTAACATTGTAGTCTTGACAACCCAAAACGTCATGTCCACACTTGTGGACACCAGGTCCCAGGTGGTTAATTAAAAAAAAATAGAGGATGACACAAAGTAAACAAACATTCCCTAATGTCTATTGTGTGCATGCTGGTATTTCTCCATCCAGCAGTAAAATGTGCACAATGCTACGTTTCTTCCTCCCACCATGTGTCGGCTTGATACAACATTCGTGTTCTAACGAAATGAAGTGTGTCTTTATAAGTGTGTTCTTGTGCCGTCGTCAAAAAACTCTCACTCTGTAGTTAGAGCTCGCCTCATAATAGAAATTATTAAACTGGATAGTCGCGAAAAAAATACAGCCTGAGACTCACACACACAGCAGGCGACTGACTCTCGCGCACGTAACCAACACTCTGCAATGGAAAAACTGCGACCCCTGGTGTTGCAATAGGGAAACAACGTTTAAAGGACTACATAGTACATACCCGTACTGCATTCTGTTTTTTTTTAACCGGGCCACAAACAAGATGGCGTGATTGAATTTATTGTATCTATACCACCACTAAATTATAACACAAAACACACGCACACGCACACACACGCGCGCACACGCACACGCACACACACACACACACACACACACACACATACACACACACACACACACACACGCCCAACTAAAAATAAAATGAGCATATGGGTCAGGTTTAAGTGATTCAGTTCATAATGGTTAATATTTCACCTTTCTCTATGCTATTACTGTTACAATCAATGTATTTAGTATTGCATATGATTTAATGTTTACTTTTTCATTATTTTTATTACCGTTATTATAAATGATTGTCATTTATTACACTTTTTTTTTAAACTCTGACAGTTATACCAAAACCGTGGTTTCTTTTGCCGTTAGTGTTGCCACTTTCATGTTAAAGTTGCCACTTTCTAATGCAGAGGTGTCAAACATACGGCCCGCGGGCCGGATCCGGCCCGCAAAGGAGTTTAATCCGGCCCGCGAGATGATTATGTAGAGCATGGTGTCAAACATACGGAACCGGCCCGCAAGGAGGTTCAATTAGGCCCGCAGGATAATTTAAAAGTGAAAAAAATGCATTAAAGACAGAATTAATATTTTTAATAAGGTGCAATCCATTGAGTATCCGCAAGGGGACACTGTTTTGATCAGAGAAGAAGACAACAGCAGCCTCAGTCCGTCACTGTGACAGACCCATGACAGCAGACGCTATCAATAGCACTCTCACATTTACACATTTAATAGCACTCTCCTTAGTTTGTAAGATTACATTTAGATTTTATATGCACGTGTAAATGGTTTAAAACTTCCTTTCTTTATGAATCTCGTTTAATCTTAAAGTGCATTACTATATTTTTCAATACCAATTACTTGTTAATGTTTGTACAATCAGTGGGATCATTTGCAATGCATATATGTGAATGATAAAAGTAAATTGCACATTTGTCGAAGGAAATGTAAGGTGCTTCATGAAATATTTTGTAAAAGATATGTTCATTAAATTTCAACATTTTCCTAATGTTCTTGTGCTTCTTTATACCAAAACAAAGGAAAGACATTGTTTTGGTTATTTATAGCAAAGTATGGTATCATTTTAATGGTCCGGCCCACTTGACATCTACCAAGGCCGTATGTGGCCCACCATGTGAAATGAGTTTGACACCCCTGTTCTAATGTTTTGTCTACACACTTGTCTTGAATTGTTTGTTTCCACATGTCCATTTTTTTGCAGAAAAAATACAAAAAAACTAAGTGCAGGCAAGAATGCTGTTACTGTTTCCCAATTAAATGTGTCAACACATGTGACAAACAACTAAATATAAATACCATGATGCTGCTTACTGTCCCTCGAAGGGAAATTCAACTTATACTCTGCTATGAACATATGTTGCGCTGTGCAGCAAAGGAACCAAATCTCACACTCAGAATGCCAGAGTAAAAGAGCAAACAGTGCTGCACTTTTTCAAACAGGGGAGGTGTAACCAAGTGCCTTGCTCAAGGATACCTCAGCAGTAGACAGAAAGCAGACTGGTATCTCTCAAACACCTGATTACCATTTCATTTTTTGTTCACCGAGGGATTTGAATCCTAAACCTTTGGTTCCAAAGCCCAAGTCCTTGAAGATGAGGTACTTCAAAAGTCACTTTTGCTGTGTTGGGGACTACCATTCATTTTTTAGAAGACAAACCAGAAAGGGTGAAAATGAGTCGAGACGAATCGACAAATACGTGCGGACCATATTTGCACTTAACGTTTCTTCGATTCAGTTGAGATTTATAACAGTATCTAGTGGAAAAATAATGCATCGCGGCTGAATGAAGACATTGCAACGGTTTCAAAACACAAAACACAAGTGAGGTCCTTTTATTATCAATTCATGTTTTTGCCATGTTATGTCTGTAGTGAATACACAGGTTGAGCCATATGTGACCTTTTTGACATTTAGAAGGTACATGCTGAAGCGTGGGGAGAATGTAAAATTTGTTCAGAATCAAAAAGCGTGACGTGAATCGGTGACGAGAACAGAAACAAGCAAAGGTCCACACGCAGGTAAGTTGATGCTTGGGACTGTTTCCGAGAACCACAAGCGTGAGCTGTGTTCTGATGAGTAACAGGCCACTCCAGCTACTTCTTGTGACATGATTTCAGGCTGAAGTGGTGGTCCGGATTAAGAAGAACTGGCTCAGTGATTGTCGGCCGTCTGCAGCATTTGTGTTCTCAGCATGTTCTTTAGCGTGCTAAAGAATGTAGCAGCGTTTTTTCTTCTTCTTTCCGCTTGGCCCATTTTTGTCCATGCCCTCAGCCATTTTCTTCATGCGCACCTCACGCATTAGGTCGAAGAACACCTGAAAGAAACCCAGAATGATCAGACAGCATGTTCAACATGCGCGGCAGGTAAACATCAGCACGTCTGTTTCGAGTCGCAAAGGGAAGGAAGATTTCCAGTACATTTCCATGGCAAGTTAAGATAAGGAATTTTTTGAAACACAATCATTACATTCATATATTAATAAGTCTATTTTGGTCTAACATTTATTTACATTGGGTGTAATTTTGCTTTTGACCACTACAGGGTGGCACATATTTAGATTGTGCCAGCGTCATGGGATAACCTCACACTGCAGGTCTTCATGCTCAATTCAGATTTTTTGGTGAAATCAGATTTTTTTCTAAGTGTATCCAAGTGTTCACATTACATGTTAAATGCAAACTCAGACTGATGTGTGCAACAAATGCAACTCCGAAGTGACCCGCATGCTTCGAGGAATAGACAACGTCGCTCACATCAAAGCTTTTACGGAAGTAAATGTGGTCCAGCGTGTTGGGGCCACAGAAGTGGTAGGGGCTCATCTCTTAGTTAATCATCTCATATCAATCTCAATTCATGGCGACATCGCTCAAGATTACGTGCGCATTCAATGTAGCAGGTTTTTTTTTGGGGGGGGGGGGAGAGATAGGGTGTTGTCTTTTTCATTGCTCTTGCTCCATATGAAAATATTTTGTGTTTCAATGTTTTTGTATTATTTCAAATGTGTGTTTTAACACCTTAAAGGAGATGTCAAGTCAAAAATTGTCTTCACAATTAATTATCTGCAGCTGCAGAATACAGTGTGCTATGTGCGTACCTTATCCACATTGGCTCTGGTCTTGGCTGAGGTCTCCACATACTGAACACGCCACTCGTTGACTTTTTCCACCACCTCCTCAACATGAACCTTTCGCCGGTCCTCCAGGTCTGACTTATTCCCCACCAGCAGCATAGGAATGGTCTCCTCTTCCTTCACACGCAAAATCTGCTCCCTATGGAAACCAGCCATTCAACATGCTTGTTTGTGCTCAAACTAACAATAAGATTACACTGTGTGTACTTCTTTGCAAGTTTAAAAAACACACACACACACACACACACACACACACACACACACACACACACACACACACACACACACACACACACACACACCTTGGGAAAGTAGAACTACTGATTCTATGCATGTACCAGAGTACAGACTGAAGTACAAAACTAAATTAAAAAAAAAAACAAGCTAAATGAGCGAATAGTAAGTTAAAAACGTACATCTTACCTCGATGTATTAATAGTAGGGTATGAGTCATTTTTAACTTACTGTCACACACACACGCACGCACGCACGCACGCACGCACACACACACACACACACACACACACACACACACACACACACACACAAAACAACAATGTGGTTGCTAAAAATCGTGAGTTGGTCTTGATTCTCAGGCATCCAAATCATCGTAATCTGCAAACCTTGAATTGAGGCATTTGGACTTTTTGTTAAATTTTTTCCCATTTTTATGAAAATTGAAATCCAGGTTTTGGCAACTGATTGCTCGTAAACACCTGATTTAGGCAATTATGCTGTTCCATTAATTGTGTGGTTTTCAGATTAATCAAAGATTTTTTTTATATACCAGAAACTGGGGGTTCTTGGGCTGACACTCGACACAATGCATTTGCCAACACTCAATTTTGAGGCCAACAACATTAAACAAATCTCTTAAATAAGGCCATGGATGGGGAATATCTTGCTTTTCTAAATCTGTTTCCATTTGGCTGCTGTCCCTGTTATTTCTTTATTTTTTTTCATGATCACAACCGTGGGTCAGTCGTCATCCAAGAAGGTTGAAAAATATAATGAGACTATTTTGAAACAGGAAGAAATAAAAAGTATGTTAAGTACAACTATATTTGTTTTCGAATGTAGGGAGTAAAAGTAAAAAGTTGCCAGGAAAGTATATAAGTATAGTCAAGAACCCTGATACCTGATAAATCTACGGTACTAAAGTTTAGGAACAAAGTATTTGCATTCAGTTACTTCCTATTACTGCTAATGTGTGCTGAAACACTTGAAAAAGGAACAAATCCATCAAGTGTCAAATTAAACATCTGAGTCAATCTTTTGTTGTGCGAAATAAAGTATTTGTACTTGGCTGAAAAAGGTGATCACACCTTAACTCTGTTGTGGCCACGAAGGACTCGTATTCTGTGATGGAAAAGACGAGCAGGAAGCCCTCCCCGCTGCGGAAGTAGTTGTCTCTGATTGCGGCGTAGTCCTCCTGCCCCGCCGTGTCCAGAATGTCGATCTGTACATCCTCCCCGTCTAGGACCACCTTCTTCCGGTAGCTGTCGGCCTTGGTGGGCTCATAATCTTCCACAAACTACATGCACAGAAACCATGGAGAGAGAGGGCAAATGCAAGAGAAGCTACTGGGAAATGGGAGTGGTGTGATCTCACCTCGTCGTACATAAACTGCAGCGTGAGGGCAGATTTTCCAACGCCACCGCTGCCCACCATGATCACCTTGTGGAGCGCCAGAGACGTCTGGTTCTTGTTTTTACTTGAGGCCATGACGCCTCACAGTGACACCTGTACAGACCAATAAAAACCATCACAGACCAGTACAACTGTTGAGACACATTTTTTTGAGTCAAGGTTAAATTTTACAATGAACCTAACAATGCACTACAACCTTTACAGGTAAACCTAATTTGACCAACTCTTCATTTTACAATGCAATGTCCAATTGTTGAATGTTTCAATACTTTTGGCATGGAATTAATGGTTCATTGCCATTTTAGCATAACCCTAACGTATAAGACCAAAAACATTTTTTGCACAACATTGTTTCTTGTAGGCGGCACAGTGGACGACTGGTTAGTACATCAGCTTCACAGTGCAGAGGTGCAGGGTTCAATTCCCGCTTGGGCCTTCCTGTGCGGAGTTTGTGACTTATGATGATAAAATGATGAATTATAATACAACCAATCTACAGTTTATGAAGCGAGACTAAAGCAGTGATCAAGTGTCAGCCGTCACATCGAAGTCATAGTGGATAATGTGGGGGTTGGGGGGTCAAAATAAATGAATGTATGATAAAATAATAATAATACATTTAATTTGAAAACGCTTTTCACAGTACTCAAAGACACTTTTTTAGAATTACGAAATGCGAGATAAAAACATACAGGTTAAAACAGAATCTACAAAAGTTTCAAAACACACAAATGTCAAGAAAAGAAAAGCAAAGCATTAAGTAAGTAACAAAAGTTAGAAGATGTTAAAAACATTGCGGAACAGGCGAGTTTTGAGAAATGATTTGAAAGATGGGAGGTCAGCACAGTTCCGGATGTGTTGAGGTAGAGGGTTCCAGAGGGTGGTGGCAGAGACAGAGAAGGCTCGGTCTCCCCAGGAATGGCGAGGAGGTTTGCATTTGAGGAGCAGTCTGTGTGAAAAGGACTGTATGGGTGGAGAAGGTCGGAAGGGCAGGAGGGGGCCTGATTGTGAAGGGCTTAAAATCCAGGACGCCCTTGTGAAGGTGAGTAGCAGAAGTTTAAATTGAATGCGCTGGGGAACGGGGAGCCAGTGGAGGTTTTTCAGGACGGGGGCGATGTGATTACGGGAGCGGGTGTGTGAGAAGGTGAGCGGCGACGTTCTAGATGTATTTAGGTGTTTGGAGGACGTGCCGTAGAGGATGGCATTGCAGTCGTCGAGGCGGGAGGTAGTGAAGGCGTGGATGAGGGTTTGGGCGGCAGTGAAAGAATTGAGCAGAGGTGAGAGATGTTCTTTGAGGTGAAATAAAGTAGTTTTGGTGATTTGAGCGATATGTTGGCCGAAAGAGATATTATTATCAAAAAGGACACCACAGTGAGAGGAGGGGGACAGGATGGAGTTGTCAATAATGAGGTTAAAGTTAGAGGCTGTTTGGGTGAGGGAGTTTGGACCAATGATTGACGGGAGAGATTTAGTGCAGTTGAGAATAAGAACATTTGTTTACATCTAGGATTTAATATCAGAAAGACAGTTAGAGAGGGGGGAGTGGGTTGTTGGGGTGATGGATTTAGCGTAGATGTACATTTGGACATCATCAGCGCAAGTGGAAGCGGAGACTGTGATGACGAATGATTTAGCTGAGGGGGTGAAAGTAGAGGATGAAGTGAAGAGGGCCAGGCACAGGACCCTGGGGGACACCTTGGGACAGAGGGGCACTGGAGGAGGAGCAGTTGTTGATGTGGATGAATTGTTTCCTGGCTGTGAGATATGAGTGAAGCCAGGTAAGGACACTGTCTGTGACGTTTAAGGATTGCAGGCAAGAGAGGAGGACGGAGTGGTTGATGATGTCGAAGGCGGCGGTAAGGTTAAGGAGGATGAGGGTGGAGAGTAGGCTGGAGTCGCAGGACATTTAATGAGGCCGGTTTTGGTTCTGAGTTGTGTGCGGAATCCAGATTGAAATTGTTCGAAGAGTTGGTTATTGTCGAGGTGGTCTTTGATTTGGGATGCGACAGGTTATATGATTTTGGACAGAAAGAGGCGGTTGGAGATTGGTCGGAAATTACTCATAATGTCGGATTGAGTCCGGTTTTTTTTTTTTTTTAAATGATGGTGGTTACAGCAGCCAGTTTGAGTCGGGGGTGTAACGAGTGTAACGCTGGGTTTACTCAAACAGGTACAATAATTTCAAGTTTGTGAGTAAAGTGACAGTCAATCAACGAGTTTCGACAAGCTTCCAAATAGTTCTTCCAGGTTCCCGCCCTCTCACCCGCCCTCAGTTTGACTGGATTTCAGCCGTTCTGGTCACGTCCCTGAGACACACGATTGGCTTAATCCAGTGACGCTCAAGTAAAACGCTGGTGCTGATCGCGCTTTCTCTCCCTGAGGGGGAGCTTAAGTTTAATCGACGTTACGGCTTGTCCGCAAAACTAGGAAATATTCAGCGAACTGAAACTGTCAAGAAAACGTCAGCGAACTCACCTCCTAGTACTTGTTTCACTTGTTTGCAAAGTCACCCGCCATACAGCGTTGCGATAGAAAGTTAGATATAAATTAGACCAGCAGCAGACTGTTTTGCGCCCCACCTTGTGTTGTGGCCGAAGCAGCTAAACAAGGAAGACCGATGTGAGGACTAACTCGTGACAGCTCAAAATGTCCCCACGAGGGCGGAGACGATTGACTCTTAATGGATAAACATGCGGCAAATATCACGCCCTCAAACTTTATTGCTAGGGTTTTTAGAGACGAAGCACAAACGTTTAACACAAATGTGGGTTTCCACATATGTCACTTCCGAGGGTTTGCAAATTTGGGATGGGGCGCAGAGTGATACATCTCCTTGTCTATGTCTATGGAAAACGGCAGAAACTTTGACAGGATATGACGCCACAATATATCCGTAAATGTATTTCTTTAAAATTAATCTTCTCTTCACCTTTTCCTGTTTAGGTAATTCTCTTTTCGCACTCTAGCATAGAAATGCACATAGACGTAGAAGGTAAATCACATCAATAAACATTGGTCTTTGATTGGTTTAAAGGCACTAGACACTCGATGATTTGCATGCTGTGCTTAATGAGAAATGATGATCGGACTACCAAGAGTTTAATGGTTGGGTGATGAGGTTGAAATACATTCTTACTAAATCAGGAACTAATATGAGGCGCTAGTTCCTTTCGCTGCAATTTCACTAATTCAAAGAAAGATGGCACTGTTGCACCACTTTAATTCCTCTCGCTGTGGTTTTCGTGGGTCAAAGAAAGGATAGATCAATCAGACACCATTTGATTTAATTTAATTTTGCTTCTCCACTTTCACTTTCTCAACTTTCGTTTGAAACACACACACACACACACACACACACACATATATATATATATAAATACAATTTTAGGAAAGACAACTCTTGTCCTCCAAACCCCCCAGTCAAATCACGTAAAAAAGTGTCAACTATAATACCGGTATTGCACTTGTGTTGTGCGAGCGGCTGAGCTACTTTGAGTTTTAACTAACAAATGTTATGCGGCCTAAAACTGGAGGCACGTGAGTTTGATTTGCATTTGAGCAAAGTAGCTTAGTGTTTTACATTTTATTGTCGATAGATACTGCAAATGTGGTTGTGCAAAAGAAGTAAATTAAAGTTGTGCGTCACAATTACATGTTGGATGACTTTTGCTTGTAAACTTGTTACACCTCTGACAAGCAGTAAAAACAGAATTGCGGAGAACCTCTGCACTGGGGTTTTGATTCAAACTAAATGTAACAAACAAACAAACAAAAACAAAACAAGTTCAAGTGAAACGTGAGGAGTCATTGAGAATTTCTCCTTGACTCCACCCACCCCACCACTGGCCACTCCCACCCGGATTGAAAGGACTTGCTGGTGTGGTGCCCGTGGGTCCCAGATGCCAGAATGGACTCATTCGCTGGCACACCACCTCCTCTAATTTCTCCTCCTTTTCCTCCTCATCCTCCTCTACCTCGGTCTCAGTGCAGCAGCCGTGTTTGGGAACTTATGAAGAAATGGCGCAACTTTTCAAATGGATTCACATTTTGTGGAATATGTTGAAGGGTTCGGGTTAGGTTTCCCCGACTGGTGAGACGTGACGCGTCCTCTTCTCTGTAGCTGTACGAGCGTCAGAGTGGCAAAGTGTTGACGTGATGTACCAAAGTGTTCCCCGGACTTCACTTTGGACTTGGTGACTTGAAGTGTGACCAAAGCGGGAAAAAAGTTCTTCTCTTCATTCTCAAACAGAAAATGACGTGTTGGCTGCTCCGATTGGTTGTGCTCTCGACTTGCGCCCTCTGCATCCTCTGCACTGCTGCGCCCAGTACCACTACCGAGGGGGAGGCGCACGCTCAGTCCCAGGATAGCTGTACGTCTTGCGGCGTCGCTCAGCCGGAGCAGGCCACCGAATCTGGCCGGCTGGACGCGGACTTGCTGGAGGCGGTCAAGAGGCACATCCTGAGCAGACTGCAGATGAGGAAGCGGCCCAACATCACCCATCCGGTGCCGAAGGCCGCTATGGTGACGGCGCTGCGAAAGCTCCACGCCGGGAAGCTGCGGGAGGACGGCAGGGTGGAGATCCCCAACTTGGACGGACACCCGATGAACAATGACGTCCCGGAGGAGAGCTCGGAGATCATAAGCTTTGCGGAAAAAGGTGCGTTGTCCAAGTACCAACATCATGACTTAAAATAAAGTTACGCAGTACATAGTAGGTAAGTGCTCATCAAAAAAGAGACAAACATGGTAAGCTGACATATATTTTCCAATTATATTAGTTTAACATATGTAAATCATTTGCACTCACATACATGTACACTGTCATATTAAACACTTTTCCCCCCAGTGTATGCAGTTAGACCATGAAGAGTGCACTTTGATATAGTAAAATAAAATAAAACAAACTCAATGATTCAATGAAAATATAGTGCAGTTAAAATTTACATAAAAATGTACATCCACAAAAAAAAAATAAACAACAAACTCAAACAGTTATTGAGTTGAAAATGTCAACTGCACTGAATGTTAAATACAACTAAACTGAACATAGGCAGTGATTTTTCACGTACTAAAAAGAGACCATGCACCACTATAGTGTTAACGCGGACCATAATTTAAGACTCTGCTTGTCTACTCTGCATTTAAACATGGCAGTTTTAAAAGCAGGTAGTAGGGTGGCCAACTGGTTACCACGTCCACCTCACAGTACAGAGGTCTAGGGTTCGAATTCGGTGTCCAGCCGTCCTCTGTGGAGTTTGCTGTTCTCCTGTGGTTGCTTGGGTTTCCTCCCACATTCCAAAAACATGCATGATAGGTTCATTGAACACAATATATTGTCCTTAGGTGTGATTGTGAGTATGAATGGTTGTTGTCCGTGTACGTGTGCCCTGCAATTGGCTGGCAACCAGCTGAGGGTGTACCCCGCCCACTGACAGCTGGGATAGGCTCAGGTTCGCCGCAACCCTCGTGAAGGATAAGATGTTCAGATATTGGATGGATGTAACAAAAGCTTCATTTGTTTCATTATTCTCATGAAGTGATGAGGAAAATATTTTCTGGACGGTAACAAAAGCATTTTGTATATTTTGGGGGGCTAAATCAGTAATTTAAGTTGCGAAAGCTTTAAAGTATAAATGACTTGAGATTTATGACTATGTTAGTTTGCACAACAAAGCTAGCAAAACAATTTACTGAGTTGTTTTTACTTATATCTTTAAATTGAGGGAACAATACAAGGGACAACAGTTCTGTAAACGCTTATTTCTTTCATATGAAATGCGGGGAAGCCAATTTTCACAACAACAAAACTTGAAATATTTAGTTGAATTGCCCAACTTAAAATGTTATCCTAGTTTGTTGCCTTGAAAGCTTGAGTTCACCCTACATTTTTTTAAGAGTATGCGTGTCTCTCACATGAAAAGAAATTGAAAGTGAATTTTTTTTTCCACGCCTCTTGCGGGCAGCACCTTGTATTGTGTTCACGTGCTGCAGAAAAAGTTGGACCCACCTAAATCTCCACATTCCCGAAAAAGAAACGTGAGCCGTGATGTCAGCTTTGACAGTCTTTAGTTTCAGATGTTTCTGTCAACAATGGTTGCAGCCAACTGGCTGCATTAGCGCCTTGAGTGGCTTCCAGCTGACTACAACAGTTGAGTCAGAACTGACTGAGGTAGTAACTCACGGCCAGTGTATGTAAGTGCATCTTGAGAAACGTCTGATCGCCACATCATCTGAACAGGGCATGAATGGGCACTTGCATCTGTGTGCATGTGCGTTTGCATGTAAATGTAGATCCAAGTGTGAAGCCTTAAGTTTATCTCCGGTTCTCAGTGTCAGTCTCAATCGGCTCTACTTAGAGTTCACAAAGTTCACTCTTGAATAATTGCTCTAATCTTCTTCAACTGACAACTCTCAATCAGCATGTATACTGTACCTGTACCGTACATGTGTTCACTCTGGCCTGGGTCCACAGCTGCTGAGATTGTTCCTTTATTTTGGTCTTTGGCCACATAGTAGTTGTGGTGCCCCTCAGGGGCCTTTTTGAAAACCATGTCTACTGATGTCATCATATATTACATATACACACAATTGGCTTTAGATTGTTATCATACATTGTATATTTTTAAAAAACAATTTAAAATCAAGTCATGGCAAGCAAATAATGAATGATAAAACTACTGCATTATCCAATTAATGCCGGCAGGATAGTCGACTGGTTAGCACGTCGGCCTCGCAGAGGTGCAGGGTTCGATCCCAGGCCCCCGGCCTTCCTGTGTAGAGTTTGCAAGTTCTCTGCGTATCTGCGTGGGTTTTCTCCAGGTACGGCGGTATCAATTTCTACCAATTTAAAACCGCATATTAGCATGTCCACCTCAGAGTGCAGAGGTGCAGGGTTCAATTCCGGCTCGGGCCTGTGTGGAGTTTGCATGTTCTCCCCGTGCCTGCGTGGGTTTTCTCCAGGTACTTTGGTTTCCTCCCACATTACAAAAACATGCGTGGCAGGCTGATCGAACACTCGAAATTGTCCCTATGTGTGAGTGTGAGCGTGGACGGTTGTCTATGTGTGCCCTGTGATTGGCTGGCAAGCAATTCAGCGTGTACCCTGCCTACTGCCCGAAGACAGCTGGGATCGGCTACAGCACGCTTGCAACCCTCGTGAAGGTACGCAATTACAAAATGGATGGACAGATGGATGGATGGGTTGAAAGTTTGTTAGTTTTAATTAGCATTCAGGGCGGCTTAAAATATATATTTTTAAAAACCCAATATGGTAAGTATTGTGTAATATAAATTCAACAAAAAATACTTGAAAACATTTTGATGATACAGAGTACAGTTTAACAGTCCACAGACTTTGAATTACAATAATTGCAATGCCTAGCACCGCTTTTAAAGGTAGATGCATGCATGCATGCATGCACACACCCTAATTAAATTAAGCTATGATGCCTCATTTGCCAAGTTACCAACTTCTAAAGTGGATTTGTGATTTGAATTCCTGTTGAGTCTTAAACGTGGGTGTCCTATTTTTTAATATACTGTGGGTTTTTTTTTTCATGTAAGACCCAAAAAAAGGAGAGCACTTTTCATCTAGCATTGTGTTTCAAGCTGAGTTAAAGGTAAATAAGAAAAGGTGGGAAGCCATTCGAGCCAAAATCATACACAAACTCGTCTCCTGGGAGCAGCGTCACTTGATGGCTGTTTTTAATTGGCTGCTGCTTGAGAACGTACAGTTTCAATTAGTTTTGGTTTTTTTTTAAAGCATTTTAATTTTTATTTTGTTTAGTGAAATTTGTTCAATGAAGTTTTGTTATTTCATTAATTTTCGTTAACTAAAATAACTTTCTCTACAGATTTTCTGTCAGAATGCCATGAATTTGATTTAGTGGGCCACATAAAATGACATGGTGGCCTGGATCCGGCCCTCGGGCCTGGAATTTCACACCCAGGATTAAAAAATTATTCATATTCTAACTAACCACTGGGAGGATCCGTCTAAGACCAAATCAGCTGCAAGAAACAGACTTCTGAGGTCATTGAGTTGTTGTGACTTCCCCTTTGATCACTCCTCTGTTGTGCCGCTGTTTTCAGATGACCTGGTGACGTCCAAGTCCAGTTTGTTTTTTCTGATCTCCAGCGAGGGTAACCAGAACCTAGATGTGACACAGGCCACTCTCTGGCTCTACTTCAAGTTACTGCCTCCACCTGTTGAGATGCGGTCTCGGCGGAAAGTGACGGTGAAAGTATACTACCAGGAACCGGGCCTGAGCAGCAAGTGGAACCTGGTAGAGAAGTGCTTGGAGCTGAAACGGAGCGGGTGGCACACCTTTACGCTGACCCATGCCGTGCGCTTGGTATTTGAGCAGGGCAACCGGCGGCAGAACCTGGACGTGCGCTGCGATGGATGCGAGGCGACGGGTGTCGCGCCCGTCCTTCTCAACCGCAACGACGAGTCGCACCGGCCTTTTCTGGTTGTGCAGGCGCGTCAGGTGGATGCCAAGCATCGGATCCGGAAGCGAGGACTGGAATGTGACGGCAGCGCTAGTCTGTGCTGCCGCCAGCAGTTCTACATCGACTTCCGACTAATAGGCTGGAACGACTGGATCATCGCGCCATCCGGCTACTTCGGGAACTACTGTGAAGGGAAGTGTCCCGCTTACATGGCAGGAGTACCCAGCTCGGCGTCGTCCTTCCACACGGCAGTGGTGAACCAGTACCGCATGCGGGGTATGAGCCCGGGCTCCATGAACTCCTGTTGCATCCCGACCAGGCTGAGCACCATGTCCATGCTTTACTTTGATGATGAGTACAACATTGTGAAACGAGATGTTCCCAACATGATTGTGGAGGAGTGCGGCTGCGCTTGAGTTCCTCTCGATGCGTCTGTGTCCTCACACAGTCAGAAACAGGTGGACCGTGTGGAGAAGTGTACACTCTCACGTGCACTTGCGTATAAGCTTGTACATATATTTATGTTGGTTAATACACAGTGGTACCTTGACTTACAAGTACCCCAAAAAATAAAAAATGAAAACACTCACGATGAGCATGCAGTGGCAGGTTTCGAACACTTTTGGGGGCTGGGGGTGGGGGGATGTGTCTAAAGGGCACAGTTTTAAACACCCAAACACAACCTATTGCCTAAATTGCCTCACTGTTCTTATTTATTCGTGATATTTATCAATTGTGTTAATTTAAAGCCACTCTATGCCATTGGAGTATATTAAATCAGCATGCGTGATACATTACAAATCAGTATCCATGGGAATATGGGGAAAAAAATTATATCGTGTGTGTGTGTGTGTGTGTGTGTGTATATACATATATATACATATATATATATATATATATAATTTCTCTCGCTGTATTCTGTATTTATAATGACTGCCAAATTATACAGGGTTTTTTTGCCATTCATGGGCTTTCCTCCCTCACAAATGGCTGTATAACCAACCGGAGCTGGAGACAGAGCTTGTCATGTTACTCACAAGGTCATGCCCCTTAAAGACAAACAGAACTACTCCAGCGTGCGTGTGACATTTGGCCTGATTCGCACAACCAATTTATTTCTTAACATTCTTTTTGATTGTTTTTACAATATTTTGCAAAGCAGTCCTCGTCTTTTTTTCATGCAAGAAAAAAAAGTGATTTTCCTAAGTCAAAGTACCACTGTATTAGCATGGCTGTGTGCTGGAAGTTGACCTCTGTGACCTCACAGCCAATTTTCAAATCAAAGACTCACACAGTTAAGAGCACTTGCAGATTGAAATGCCTTCAGTGAGCATTAGGTGGCGCCTCACCAGTCAAAGACATAAGTGCCACACAAACTATGCAACATATTGAGCACACAGCAGACAAGTTGAACGCCAGCGACAAACTATCAGTATCGGCAATACTTGAAACATAGGCATGGTGAGTAATTACAATGCTTACAGGCTCTCTAGTTTGCTTGACATCCTCTGCAGAATGTTCCCATGTTGTTCAGCGGCTTACTTTAATAGAGCATCATTACGCTTCTCTGGCCCCTCCTGCAGCCCCTCCCCATCCACTGTTATTGGAACATTTGCACTGAGGAGCTGTGAAGCTGCCAACACGGGACATCAAGTTTTAAAAAAAGTTATTTTTCTAAAACTGCATTCAAGGAACCAAAGAGGTACTGTTTTTGATTGTTGTAATGAGAGGCCTAAACACTGTCAAGTGAATCATCATCATCATCTCTGCCTAGAAGATGTCTTGTTTTTTTTTTTTTAATACACTTTTTGCTAGCTCAGTTCATTTCATAGATTCATTTAGAAGGAAGCACATGTGGTCCCTGTACAGTAACATTTCAATGTTTTCTTCATGGTGACTGTTGCAAAATAAATTTCTTATTACACCGTTGTTTGAGCTTCTTGGGTCATGTGACATTGGCAAGTTCTTACAAAAAGCCTGACAGGAATGTTGGGATGGTCTGGGGTTTTCCACATACCATCAGAAGACCCCCAGCCATCAATGTAGGTGAACTGATTGATCATGTTTAAGTAAAAGCCAATCAGGGAATAAGGAACTCCCACATTGTGTTGGCCAGCTACATCAGTAAATACCCAAATCACATTTGTCCGATTCAAAACCATCACAGTCCATGATGATCTACGTCCAAATGCAGATTAAACCACTACACTGTAAAAAAATACAACTTGTATTTTTGGTGGGCTAAAACAGTCATTTCAATTGGAACAACTTTAAAATATAAAGAAATTGACATTTATGGCAACAATGTTAATTAGCAAATTAGAGCAGGCAAGTTGTTTCCTTCAAAACAATTATTTTTTTTTTTTTTTTTTTTTTACTTATAGCTTTACGTTGAAGGACAATTAGTTCTTTCAACCCCTTACTTTGTTGAAAATGCGGGAAAATAAATTTTCACGTTAGCAACACTTCAAATATTTTAAATTGCCAACTTAAAATGTTAGCGACGTTTGTGGACTTGAAATTTTGAGTTCATTCAACTTTTTTTTTTACAGTGTAGTAAACAATCCCTTGTCGTTAGACCAAAGCAGAGCAGAGCCGTTGAGAAAATGGGGGAAATGGCTTGAATATTGATTTTTTTTCCTTCGTCTCTACCACCGTAGTTTGAATGTGGGAAGTCAGTCAAGACGACGTTGCGTGAGGAAAGTGGCATAGAAGTGAACATCGGCTGTAATTTACATTTCAAATGGAAAGTGATTCAACAATAGACATGGAGGAAATTCTAGCGAACGTGATAATTGAGGCACTGGCTAATTAACTGACCTTTCTTTTGCTCAGATTAAGAACACAAAGATGCTCTTTTGAAGCTACAATCGATAATGGGCCGTAACCTATCAGCAGGCTAACTATTGCGTTTTGCTAATTTGCTCAAAGACAACCCAAGCAAGCGTTTTTTTACATATCTGTGAGAAAATGCTTTCCAAAAACCCTTTGGTAGAGGTGTGCTTCCCAATTGTTTTAGCTCTGAGAGTTCAGGAGCAGAACATGCAATACATGAAACATCTGTCTGCCTGTTTGTGAATAAATGACAGCATTCTGCACACTGACAACAATGAGACCCATCCATCCATTCATTTTCTGATCCGCTTATCCTCACAAGGATCGCGGGGCATGCTGGAGCCTATGACCACTTCTTGTAATAACCTGAAGAATGTATGACAGTGCAGAAGAGGGTCTTCAAAAGGTAAATACCATCGTTTTATTGGAGACCAAAGTGGTCTCTGCAGGCTCTGCAATCTGTATATCATTTGTTCTTTCCATTTTTAATTCAATTGTAATGTAAAAAAATGTGTGTGTGTGTGTGTGTGTGTGTGTGTGTGTGTGTGTGTGTGTGTTTATGTGTGTGTGTGTTAGATTAAAATTGAATGACAAAATAATCTGTCACTTTTTTATTAGATGTTTTGGTTTCCAATTGAAAATGGAAATGATGGAATGATAAATGTATTGTTCGCAGTCATCTTCTCCGAACAATGTCAACAGGTAAAGGATGATGTTGGTTAACACTCAAATTCCAGATGACATTACAAAGCCAAAACGGTGTTTGTAAGAAAAATATATAGTCATACCTTGACTTACAACCACCCAAACAGTGGAATTTTCAAGTTACGAGCCTTTGCCTGGTCATTTTTTTTTTTTTTTGCTCTGTGTTGTAAACAAAAATGTTCATTATGACCTAGCTTCAGGTATGCCAACACTCAAAGTGAAGAGAAATAAGAACGACAGTGCCATGTGATTTCCTGGCGACCAGTCTAGGTTGCACTTATCAACTCACGTAAAGAGAGTTGGCATAGGTTCTAGCTCACACATGACCCACCCCAGTGAAGGCAAGCGCTCAAGAAAATTCATGGCTATTGCTTGCCGTTAGAAGGTGAGGAATGTAAGTGGGAGGTAAATTAGCAGACTGCCTTGAGTTGTGCAGAGACGTGTTATAACATAATGCTGCGGTTTCAGCAGCACGCCAGAGAGGCTGCTGCACAAGGCTGATGAGTCGATTTGATTAATCGATGGCTAAAATACAAATCCTCCTATCTGACAGAGGTATCACGGTCCAGAAAGTAAACCTTGCCACAGTTTGCCTTTAGCCACATGGGACTTCTACTCAAGAGTTTCGTTTACCTGCCTGTTGAGTAGGAGGACCTGTGGCTAAAGACTTGGATTTGACACCTGTGTGAGATAGGATGATTTGAATGTTGGCTGTCGTCATGCATCATACACGTGCGACAGCTGACATGAGAGTAATATAATGGATTTCATATTCGTGTATAAAACATTGAGCCTTCAGCGACAAAGCGTTTGAACAATCAAACAACAAGCATATACGGTACTGTTTTTTATCCCAGTACAAAGGCTCTCGCCCATTCAAGGAGGGCACAAAACTGCTAAACAAGGCAAAATTAAGTGCACAGACTTATTTTGTTCATTTTTTTCATTTTTAGTGCATTAGACCTGGTACAAATGCAACGAAGTGATGTCTGTTGTCTTGTGGTGAATGGTGGTATTACATCTTAAAACTATAAAGTTGACCCTTGCTAATTGCAGACATTAGGGTGCAAACCAGCCAGCAAATAGCAAAAATCTGCAAATAACTGATGCCCATTGAATCCATCCGTCCATCCATTTTCTGCTTATCCTCACAAGGGCCGTGGGGCATGTTGGAGCCTATAGCAGCTGTCTTCGGGCAGTAGGCGGGGGACACCTTGAACTGGTTGCCAGCAGGGCACACAGAGCCAAACAACCATTCGCATTCACAATCACACCTAGGGACAATTTTGAGTGTTCCATTAACCTTCCATAAATGTTTTTGGAATGTGGGAGAAAACTGGAGTACCTGGAGGAAACCCACACAGGTACAGGGGAACATGCAAACTCCACACTGGAAGGCCGGAGCCGGAATCAAAACCTGCACCTCTGCACTGTGACGCTCGATCATGTGACCCTCCAATTGAATCGTATTGGATTTTTTTTTTTTTTTGTATTAACCTAAAAAATTCTTCTTCTTCTTCTTCAAAAAAGAAAAAAACCCTTTTCCAATTTGTCTTTTTTTAAAATAATCAAGGGGCCACTCAGAGGAAGAGCAGAGGGCACATTCTGCCCATGGGTCGCGAGTTGAGTGGTTTAGGTCCTATTTAGCTGACAGAACCTTTTGTGTTAAACTTGGCTTCTCTGAGTCACGTACTGCCCCACTGTCATGTGGTGTTCCACAGGGCTCAATTCTGGGGCCTCTGCTGTTCTCACTGTACCTGCTCCCATTGGGTTCCATCTTAAGGAAACATGGTATTTCCTTTCACTGCTATGCAGATGACTCAGATCTATGTCCCACTGAGCAAAAAAGACACTTTCTCATTCAGGCCACTTTTATCCTGCCTGGAGGAAATCAAAACCTGGATGGCAAAAAATTTCTTGAATTTCAATGAAAAGAAGACAGAAGTGATAGTGTTTGGTCCCAGTGGCCCTTTTACATCCCATCCTGTAGACTTGGGCCCCCGGTCTCCTTATCTGAAGTCAACGGTGTCAAACTTGGGTCTTAAACTGGACAGTGATTTTAAACTTGACCGGCAAATTGGTGCCGTTGTTAAATTCACCTTCTTTCATTTTTAGGCAGCTGGCTAAAGTAAAACCTCTCTTTTCTCATGAGCACCTTGAGACAGTAATTCATGCCTTTGGCCCATCCCAGCGCGATTACTGTTAATGCACTTTACTTTGGAGTCAGCCAATCCTCCATTACGCTTCTCCAGCTGGTCCAGAA